TGCTCATCTAATTAACTTTGCACTGTCAGCAGCTACTGCTACAGAAGAAATGAAAGACGTGAAATCTTTATAATTGGATTTGGGGCCGTTTTCAAGCATGCAAACAAGTCGAAGGCTTTGTTTAACACAGAGCGAGATGAGTGCAGATTACCTACCCCTGTTGTGCCACACCTGTGGATGAGCTTGTACTTCACTGACTGTCATGTAAATAACACGCGGACTATGCTAATGTGTCTCCTAGATCATCCTGAGTTTGTTGGTTCTAAAGCACAAACTCTGAAGGGACTGGCAAATCCAAAATAACTGCCAGATACTCAGCACCAAGGTAGTGTTAATTGCTGAAAACCTGGAATCATTATGTGACATGCAGAAAACACTGGCGTTTTCTCTAACTACTGCCCACATGTTTGCCAATACAGATGTTTACCGGATCTTGACAACCAAAATCTCAACTGAACTGAGCACAAAAACTGAAGGAGAAACACACGGTGAGAAAACTCAGCTGTTTCTGGAAATCTTTCCCACTCTGGAACATGCAAAAACCAAAAAAAGCATTCAAAACCTTCAAACACAACACTCAGTGAGAAATGGGAAATGACCGTGGCCCATAATCTGAATTCCCCAAGTGTTTGGTGCCAAAAATATATTTTAGAATGCCCAGGTGTTGCACTTCTTCCTCAGGGTGAAATCTGCAGCAGACTATGGTCTTTACGCCACTGTGTTTCAACCATTTGCCACTAAAGAAGAAATTTCAAATCTGAAAGGGGAGTTTACTACATACATGAACTTGCCTAATCCTGACAATGCAAAACTGGATGTGCTGGTTTTTTGGAACAGTCATCAAGACACACTTCTCAGCTTCAGCAAAGCAGCACATCAAGCTTTGAGTGTACCCCCTGGATCTGTTGAGGCAGAGTGCATATTTTCAAAGTTGGACTACCTCCAAGCAGCAAGAGGCTCAACATGAGTGAGGATACTTTGAAGAAAATTATGCGTGCGTATGCAAACCAGGATTTCTGGAAAAACAACTAGCTCTGAGAGAGACAAAATATACCTTTGTACATTAAAAAAAAAAGTTTCAATTATACAGTAATAAAATGTGTATATTACAAAAGGTTTTTTTGTTTTTCTTTTCCCCAACCCCAATTTCCCCCCCCCTTTTTTTTTTAAATTTGAACCTGATTTCATCCCAGTTTTAATGTTTGAAAAGAAAACACTGAAAAAAATCCCAATTTTTTTTTTTTACAAATAAAAACTGAAAACATGAAACAGTACTTTTATTTTAAAATTACCAGCCTGTCTCTAGCAAACAAATTAAGATCTGAGCAGTTTCCAATTTCTATCTGGACAGTAATTTTAGGAAAACCTAATGTCAAAAATGAACAGGTAAGAAAAGCAACTGTCAAATTTTGCTGCACTAAACTATTTAAGCAAATTGCCTATATTGATTAAATGAACTGAAAAAAGTGTCAATAATATATGATGCATATATACAGTACTGGACTATGCATCTATAACGAGAGTCTTGTTAGTACTTGTGGTAGACTGTCTAGTCCAGTCCTTGTATTTAGCCACATGAAATAACTGAAATATCAACATTCTGCTTTTATCTCCTCCTTTGTACACTTTCCAACCATTGTAGTTTTAGCTTAGTAAAGATAATTAAGTCCATTATAGCATCTTCGGTTATACCAGCAGAATTATACGTATTTTGTATTGCAAATTTCAACTGGTTAGCCACATTCCTCTTATAAACCCTCATGTAAAACATTTTTCATTTGTAACTGGATTTTCTATCACAATTCTTGAATCATAAAATCAGTTTGTGGTTGACTTCAGAATATGCCACTGGACTTGATGTTGACTGGATTTACAAACACAAGTATGTTGTTCTGGATCCCCAAGGTTCCAGTATCATCAAAAAACTGGTAGTGTTCACTGACCTTTCATACAAGTTGTTCCTTCTTCTCAGCATTTAAATTCATTTTCTTTTTCTTGGCATGTGAAGAGCTAATTGACTACTCTGACTCAATGCCCAGGAGTGTGAAGTGGCACCAGCAGCAGAGAATACGAAAGGAGCTCTCGTGGCATCAGAGGTGACACCATTTGCATCACTAACATGAACAGAACATTTAAAAAGAAAAGGAGTACTTGTGGCATCTTAGAGACTAACCAATTTATTTGAGCATAAGCTTTCGTGAGCTACAGCTCACTTCATCGGATGCATACTGTGGAAACTGCAGAAGACATTATATACACAGAGACCATGAAACAATACCTCCTCCCACCCCACTCTCCTGCTGGTAATAGCTTATCTAAAGTGATCACTCTCCTTACAATGTGTAGGATAATCAAGTTGGGCCATTTCCAGCACAAACTACCCCCCCCCGACGTTCTGGTTAAACTTGGATTTATGCTGGAAATGGCCCACCTTGATTAACATACACACTGTAAGGAGAGTTGTCAGTTTGGATGAGCTATTACCAGCAGGAGAGTGAGTTTGTGGGGGCGGGGGGTGAGAAAACCTGGATTTGTGCTGGAAATGGCCCACCTTGATTTTCATGCACATTGTAGGGAGAGTGGTCACTTTGGATAAGCTATTACAAGCAGGAGAGTGAGTTTGTGTGTGTGGTTTTTGGAGGGGAGGGGGTGAGAAAACCTGGATTTCTGTTGGAAATGGCCCACCTGGATTATCATACACATTGTAAAGAGAGTGGTCACTTTGGATGGGCTATTACCAGCAGGAGAGTGAGTTTGGGAGGTGGGGGGGGGGGGGGGGGGGCGGAGGGTGAGAAAACCTGGATTTGTGCTGGAAATGGCCCAACTTGATTATCATACACATTGTAAGGAGAGTGATCACTTTAGATAAGCTATTACCAGCAGGAGAGTGGGGTGGGAGGAGGTATTGTTTCATGGTCTCTGTGTATATAATGTCTTCTGCAGTTTCCACAGTATGCATCCGATGAAGTGAGCTGTAGCTCACAAAAGCTTATGCTCAAATAAATTGGTTAGTCTCTAAAGTGCCACAAGTACTCCTTTTCTTTTTGCGAATACAGACTAACACGGCTGTTACTCTGAAACAGAACATTTAAAGACAGTTATACCACAGTACAGGGTGAAAAATACCAATTTTTACGATTACTGGTTTAAGGAGAATGTCCCCTTTTTGGCAAAAATCAAAAGTAGTGTATAGTCAGCATTAAGCCAAGTACTATTCGATTAGACAGTTGTTGACACAAATGAGTAAACGAGGGCATTTTTCAGCTACCCCTTCAAAATATTTACTCTTCATGAGTAATTCCAATGAATACAGGGCTTTGAATTTCAGCCTCTAACCTGTTCTTTTGATTACTCTATTGTATAAGTACATGATCATTTTCTGGACACAAAACAAAAGGTGTATGTTGGAGCTGCATCAGATGATAAAGATCTTCCATGGCTAATCATTCCAACTGATTCTATTTTAATTCCACATTTACAAGCAAACTAAAGCAGTGTCTCCAAATCAAGGGTTACAGAATGAAATCTATATCTGAAGGTTTCATAACTATGTAGACAGTACCATGCTAAAATACTGTCCTGTTAACCTACAATTCAAACTGTGATCCCTGCAGAGCAAGGCTGTAGTATTATGATAAAACAAGGAGTATAGCAAAAGGAAGATCACATGTGACATCTCCAAAGTTCAGACTGATTCATAGCTTAAAAGAGTCAACCACAAGCGGTCACTAAACCTTGACTACATTCTCAATAAATGCATACTATGAAGCTATTTTTAATTGTCAACAGCTTGCCCTTAAGAAACATCTTTCAGCATCTAAAAATATGCATAACTGAATGACAATAGCCATCCACAACTTTATTCAAGGTACGCACACGCTGAGTTAACTGAAGGAAAACGCTCCAGATAAAAGCTGTTTTACAATAGCCATCCACAACTTTATTCAAGGTACGCGCACGCTGAGTTAACTGAAGGAAAACGCTCCAGATAAAACCTGTTTTACAAATGTCTTCTCTGACAAATCACCATAAAACTACTGTAATTAGCCAACTGGCAGTTCTTAGGCAGACAGGCATCAACCCAATAGGCAGCCCAGCACAATGACAGCAAAAATTGCATTATTGAAATACAGTAATTATGCATTTCTTCCAAGGCCTCGCTACAGCCGGCTAACATTTTCACATTTTAAAAAAGTCAAGTACCCCCGATCTGTTTACAGAATGGAAATGCTGAATAGCTCAGCATCCAGGCTAAATCCCTGAGCATGCATATTAAGAAATGACTAACCAAGAATGTACATAAAGAAGAGTAGATTACACACCTTAGCATGTTACCTAGTATTTGCCCAGAGGGGGTTTAACACTTGTCTGTTAAGGCCTCAGAGGTAGTCCCTGCTCAATCAAGGATGCTGGTCCTGCTGTCTTTGATGCAAAGATATTCTGGGCAGTTACAGTCATATTTCACTTTACAATGTGGGGGAGGGGAAAAAAGTTAAAGCATCTTGCCATCACCAGCAGTTGCTACTGAAAATTGTCAGCAAGAACCACCAGCACATGACAAAAATCTCTTTTTCTCCTTCTGTATGGAGAGTGTGACCAACACAAAGAGCATCAAACCCAACAAGAATGGATACTTACAGACCTCTCTCAAAGCAAATAAAACACAAACTCTTTCTAGCAAGAAATCTGATCACACAAATCTACATACCTGCACACAGAAACCCAACTCCCCTACAAGTACCCCATAACCCTCTGTTATAGACACAGCCCATCCTCCCTAATTCCTGTATATCTACATCCCAACACATATTCACATACACACCCCTGTAGGAGCACTCTCTCAACCCCCTATGCATACACACCTTTAACCCCTCCCCCAGCAGATCTTATTACATACTTTACTACAATACATAAAGTAATAGCTAAGCTGATCTTAATGTAAAGGTTGAACGATCACAGTATCAGCAAGTCATTTCCGTAACAAAGCAAAAAACCGCTACCTCACAGCTGTGTGTGGTTGCACGTCCTTCGGGCAGTAAACAGGAAACGCAGACCTCTAAATAGCGAATGCAGTAATGAAACAGATATGCAGAAACGTGTGGATGGTTAGGTTAAATGCCTGCTTTACACACCTCATTGTGTATGTTCCACGGGTAAAATTCCTGCTCAGCCCTCATGAGTCCCGTGTGTGTGTGTGTGTGTTGTGCAGGTACAATGCCCGCTCTGCGCTCCTCAGAGAGTGTGTGTGTGTGTGTGTTGTGCAGGTACAATGCCCGCTCTGCGCTCCTCAGAGAGTGTGTGTGTGTGTGTGTTGTGCAGGTACAATGCCCGCTCTGCGCTCCTCAGAGAGTGTGTGTGTGTGTGTGTGTTGTGCAGGTACAATGCCCGCTCTGCGCTCCTCAGAGAGTGTGTCTGTGTGTTGTGCAGGTACAATGCCCGCTCTGCGCTCCTCAGAGAGTGTGTGTGTGTGTGTGTGTCTGTGTGTGTGGTGCAGGTAGGCTGCTGGGTCTGCACTCAGAGTGTGTTGTGCAGGTAGTACGATGCCTGCTCTAGCACGCCGGCTGCGAGGGCAGCGGCAGCCCTTCTGCAGAAGTTCCCGGCGCCTCCCCTCGCAACGCGGGGCGCCTCCCGTGATCAAAACTCGGGGCGCTCCTCTGCTGGTCGCTAAGAAATGCAAGTCGGGTCCCTGCCTCCCCCCTGCCCCGCCCGCAAGCCCTGAGGCAGCAACTTCTCCAAGCGGAGCCGGCCAGAGACCGGAGCCGCTGCCGCCGCATCCCTCCTGCCGCCCGCTGCACCCTCCCGAGCTCCCCGGGCTGCAGCCGCTCGCCCGCCCGCCGGCTCCTTCCCACCCCACCCCGCCCCGCTCCGGCCGGCAGAGCGTGGCACTCACCGCTTCCCCGCCTCTCGCCGGTCTCCTCGCCACACTTGCCCCCGGGGGCGAGCCTGCCCGGCTCCGCTCGGTTTCCAGCCCCGCAGCCGCGAGGCGGGCAGTGCGGTGGGTCCGCCTGGTCTGTAGAGCCAGCCCGCTCCGGCCGGCCAGACGCCGCCGCCGCCCGCCAGTCCCCAGCAGCGGCGGCTCCGAGCCCAGCCGGCACTGAGGAGCCAGGCAGCGGCGGCCACGTGAAGCGGCGGCGGCAGGCTGGGGCTTGCCAAGCGTGCGGCCGCCGCGGGGAGCGGGCGTTACCCCGCCGCGCCCCTTCCCCCGGCCTGGGCTAGGGCAGGGGGCGGAAGTCTGGCTCGTTTGTTGGCGCTTGGAGAGGAGCTGCGAAGCCCCGGCCGAGCGCTGTGCAGCCCACGCGAGACTCCCTCGCCCTGGCCCGGGTATAGCGCCCTGCGTGTGCCGCGCCAGGGGACTCCCACGCCCAGCCAGACGAGCAGCCCGCCTGCAGGCAGCGGCCCGCTACAGAGCCAAGGCAGAAAGCCGCTGCTGAGGGGTTGCTCCAACCACTGCAGCTGCTGGCCCTTCCACGGGACCTCCTCTCCCCCAGCACGCACCCCACGCCCAACAGACTCTGCTTCCCCACCTGCCCCCTCCCAGCCATTTGCACTGTGCTCTTCAGTGGGACAGACTGAGCAAAGTTAGGAGAAGAATGATCTGGACCCAGGCCCTTGCCCATCCTTTTCGAGTAGAGGAAGGCTTCAGCCCTACTGCGCAGCCTGCGAAGACAACCTGGCTGCAGCTGCCCCCTCAGCTCCCATCACTGTGCTTGTTCAGGTTGGGCTGGGAAGGCCCCAGTTCCATTGCATAGGCCAGGTGCGCTGGGGAGGACCAGAAGCCTAGCTGCTGCCACCCACTTTAAGTCCTGGGGAGACAAAAGGCAGTATCTGGGGCTCATCCAAACAGTTCTCTTCCTCTCCAAGGTTAGAAAGGTCCCAACCTCACTGCTTGGTCTAGGGACCTGAGGGGTAACACGGCTTTCATTGTCAGCTCAGCTTTCATTGCTAGTATCTCAGAAACAGGCCCATCACATAGTCCAGGGAAAGGATAGGCCATGAAGGACCTTCAAACCAGCAGCAACATCAGCTCCTGGGGAGGGCTCTATTACCCTTGTGAACAGATGGGCCTTGCCCAGAAAATGTGGCTGCTTTGGGTGCAGGTTAAAACCAACATCTTAAATTTTAACTGGAAGCCAGAAAGTTGCCTGAGCAATTGATGGAGCACAGGTGTGATATGCTCCTGAGAAGAGGCTCCACTCCCCCAGCAAGCAGCCACATTTTGCAATTGCTTCCAAATGGACAAAGGAGATGCTGTTGTCATCATGAATAGGTCGGAATATGAACAAGAGGCTGCTCGGCAGCTCTCCAACACCACTTTTTACAAGCCATTACCCTCTGATCCCACTGACAGTTACCAAAAGAAACTACAGCATTTGCTCAAGAAACTCCCTGAAAAAGCACAAGATCAAATCTGCATAGACACACCCCTGGAACCCTGACCTGGGATATTCTGTCTACTACCCAAGATCCATAAACCTGGAAATCCTGGGCGCCCCATCATCTCAGGCATTGGCACCCTGACAGCAGGATTGTCTGGCTATGTAGACTCCCTCCTCAGGCCCTACGCTACCAGCACTCCCAGCTACCTTTGAGACACCACTGACTTCCTGAGGAAACTACAATCCATCGGTGATCTTCCTGATAACACCATTCTGGCCACTATGGAAGTAGAAGCCCTCTACACCAACATTCCACACAAAGATGGACTACAAGCCGTCAAGAACACTATCCCCGATAACGTCACGGCTAACCTTGTGGCTGAACTTTGTGACTTTGTCCTTACCCATAACTATTTTACATTTGGGGACAATGTATACCTTCAGATCAGCGGCACTGCTAATGGGTACCCGCATGGCCCCACAGTATGCCAACATTTTTATGGCTGATTTAGAACAACGCTTCCTCAGCTCTCGTCCCCTAACGCCCCTACTCTACTTGCGCTATATTGATGACATCTTCATCATCTGGACCCATGGAAAAGAAGCCCTTGAGGAATTCCACCATGATTTCAACAATTTCCATCCCACCATCAACCTCAGCCTGGTCCAGTCCACACAAGAGATCCACTTCCTGGACACTACGGTGCTAATAAACGATGGTCACATAAACACCACCCTATACCGGAAACCTACTGACCGCTATTCCTACATGCCTCCAGCTTTCACCCTGACCACACCACACGATCCATCGTCTACAGCCAAGCTCTGCGATACAACTGCATTTGCTCCAACCCCTCAGACAGAGACAAACACCTACAAGATCTCTATCAAGCATTCTTACAACTACAATACCCACCTGCGGAAGTGAAGAAACAGATTGATAGAGCCAGAAGAGTTCCCAGAAGTCACCTACTACAGGACAGGCCTAACAAAGAAAATAACAGAACGCCACTAGCCATCACCTTCAGCCCCCAACTAAAACCCCTCCAATGTATTATTAAGGATCTACAAGCTATCCTGAAGGATGACCCAACACTCTCACAAATCTTGGGAGACAGGCCAGTTCTTGCCTACAGACAGCCCCCCAACCTGAAGCAAATACTCACCAGCAACCACATACCACACAACAGAACCACTAACCCAGGAACCTATCCTTGCAACAAAGCCCGTTGCCAACTGTGCCCACATATCTATTCAGGGGACACTATCACAGGGCCTAACAACATCAGCCACACTATCAGAGGCTCGTTCACCTGCACATCCACCAATGTGATATATGCCATCATGTGCCAGCAATGCCCCTCTGCCATGTACATTGGTCAAACTGGACAGTCTCTACATAAAAGAATAAATGGACAAATCAGATGTCAAGAATTATAACATTCATAAACCAGTCGGAGAACACTTCAATCTCTCTGGTCACGCGATTACAGACATGAAAGTTGCGATATTACAACAAAAAAACTTCAAATCCAGACTCCAGCGAGAAACTGTTGAATTGGAATTCATTTGCAAATTGGGTACAATTAACTTAGGCTTGAATAGAGACTGGGAGTGGCTAAGTCATTATGCAAGGTAACTTATTTCCCCTTGTTTTTCCTACCCCTCCCCCCGACGTTCTTGTTAAACCCTGGATTTGTGCTGGAAATGGCCCACCTTGATTATCATACACATTGTAAGGAGAGTGATCACTTTAGATAAGCTATTATCAGCAGGAGAGTGGGGTTGGGGGGAGGTATTTTTTCATGCTTTGTGTGTATAAAAAGATCTTCTACACTTTCCACAGTATGCATCTGATGAAGTGAGCTGTAGCTCACGAAAGCTTATGCTCAAATAAATTGGTTAGTCTCTAAGGTGCCACAAGTACTCCTTTTCTTTTTGCGAATACAGACTAACACGGCTGTTACTCTGAAACCTGTCAAATGGAGTTACTTGTAGACTCACACCAAAGGGAACATTGCAATGGCTTAATGTTGAGGTCACAAAGGCACAGATGCCAGTAGCGAGAGCTGTGTCCAAACTCAAAGGCTGTACCCCTCCTGTCAAGTATAAATGCGGGGGAAGGCGGAAAGCTACTTTGGCCATCACTTCTCCTTAGTCATCCAAATGTAGTTGTTAGTCCAACTAGGCACTTAGATTATCTACTGGTCAGTAATGGCAGGCAGACACCTCCATCATCGGCTCCAGTATAATCTTTCACAGCTTTATTCTCCCAACCCACCAACAGCACCTCTTTTTTATCATTTTGCTCTTTTCAGTGTCCATCAAACCTTAGCTCAGTTACTCTTGCTAGTCCATCAAGATGAAGACGCAAAGCTATGTGTCATCCAAATACAGAAAATAACTAAACTTCTGCAGCTTAATCTCCCTGCATATTCCTGAAGGCATCAAACCACAAACAGATAGATATAGCACAGTGTCAGAAGATGGAGACAACTCAAATGACAAAAAGCTGTTTGTGCATCTAACAAGAGATAATTCTATCCCTTCTGGCAAATCTTTCCTAAAAAGGAAATTCCCGTGTTCTTATATCCGATCATTTGTAATATCTTAGAGAAAGCATCTTTGCAATTATGTCCTTTCAAGGGAAGAAAGTCATTATTTCCCTCATTCTTGAATAGATGAATGACCATTAAAATCTTTTAAGATGTGTTTAGGTTCAGAGGATGGACTTTACTCCTTTCCTAAATCCTGTTGTTCCAGGATGGTGCCCCAAAAACTTACTTTCACTTGGAACGTGACCAGCTGAAAAAGCAAAACTAAACATTAAGACACCTGCAGTATGATGCTTACATTGTAGAGGGAAAATACGAACCGCATGATAGGATTCATAGCAGCCTAAATGAGAGCCGAATGCCTTCAGCAGTACCAGTCCAATCAGGTAGATTTGCATGCAGTCCTAGGATTGGGGCCCCAGAAAAAGGTTTAGCAGCCAATTTAAATTCTTCCCAATGTGGGGAAGAGGGAGATGTCTGACCAGCTTCTGGAGAGATCACAGATTTATCCATTAAGGCCCACCACATAGAAGGATTTGGGCTGTGTAGATGCAGCCCAATCTCAGCCATCACTAATGTAGTAAAAAAACAGTTATTCTCAGAGCATGGTGATTAGAACATTCAAACTCAGATTGGAGCACTCATCTTTTGGTTCATGTGCATTTTTCTCTTCTACTGTGGGCTACATGCTGGGCCAGTCTTATCGGAGCAGCAAAAGAAAAGGAAGTTATGCCCATACTTCTGTCATTTA